CACACCACACACACACACACACACACACCACACACACACACACACACACACACACACACACACACACACACACACACACACCACACACACACCACACACACACACACACCACACCACACACACACACACACCACACAACACGCAAGGCAACGAAAAATGTAAGCAACGGGGGATCCGTCGGCATTAATGAACATGCCTGCACGTCAGAGGAAGAACCTACACATTCCATAGTGTCCACGAACAGCACGAGCATCAAACTGAATACCTTGCTATTTCCAGCCCGCCTAGTTGGGCTTCATTTTCAGTTTAACCACCGGCTGTTTCCGGCCACGTTGACATTCATGCGGCGGGTTCTTCCTCCGCGCGACGCCTCGAGCAGCTATTAGCCTTACAGCGACGTGCATTGGGGGCGTGCGTTCCGGACACATTACTCAACATTACCCGCACTGAGATGGGAAACCGTTGTCTTGCCTCCTGTGCACATGAGATTTACAAAGCAATGCCGTGTCAAGCACCACCGGTTGTGCCCTTTACTCGACGGTTGAAACGCCATCCAATCAACAAAAATATCGCGGCATGATAGCAACGCCGCGCAAGTATGATGAAATGTTTTAATATATATATATATATATATATATATATATATATAAATATACATATATATATATATACGGGTCAACTTTACGGAATTTTTTCGGCTTGTTTGATCCCTGTGACGATCGCCAGCAATAGCCTCGGGTTTATCTTGGATCGCAAAAATACCTGGCCATGCCTAATGACTAATAACAGGTGGCCCTGTGAGATCAGCCAAGAATTCAAAGACGCAGTTGAAACTTGTGTAACAGAGTTTATTTTTGCCATCGATGTTGCTTCAAACAAGTCAACAGAATGTCCTACGGCTATGAACAATCTACAGAAAGTCTTGATCGCCATTCGAATGAAGTGAAAGAAGGGAATGGTTTCTGGGGTTTGAAGTTTAAACTACTACCTCTGAGCTTAGCGTAACATCTGAGCTTATTATTAGCTACCCAGCTGTTTGCCACGTAGCGACTAATCCGGCCAGAAAATATCCAGACGAATCTCCGCTTTTTTCCGGCGAAGCGCCCTCATTCTGTTCTCCATTTGTGTTGCGACGGTCATTGCGCATTTCCCACCAATAGAAAAGTTGCCATGCTGCCCACTGGCAGCGTATGGTGCAGGCGGCGGGCCCGCGGTGACGTGCTGTGTCCCAGTACTGTCACACTGTTGTCACGGCCCGCGGTGACGTGTTGTGTCCCAGTACTGTCACACTGTTGTCACGGCCCGCGGTGACGTGTTGTGTCCCGGTACTGTCACACTGTTGTCACGGCCCGCGGTGACGTGTTGTGTCCCAGTACTGTCACACTGTTGTCACGGCCCCGGTGGCTCGGCTGCACGGAGTAGGCGAGCGGCAGGTGCAGGCGCTGCTGCGTGGCCCAGATAACGCACGAGCTCAGGCTCGCGAGCGACGGCCGCACGCTGGCGTCGGCGTGTGGGACAGGGGGTGGGGATGCAGCGGACGGCGCACGGTCGTCGAGCCACGCACGGTCCACACTGCGCCGCCCACGGCAGACGTCGGACGTGCAGGTGCACCAGCTCCAGTGCGCGCAGCCTGGCGGGGAAGTGCAGTGGCAGTCAGCCGCCATGTGGCAGCTGGCAACTGACATTAAACGTGGAGCCCGCTCTCTATCGCCGAGCAGTATTGGCCTTCGGCACGACAGCCGTCTGGCAAGCCAACTTCTGGGCGGATTATGCTGCTCAATAGGCTGCAGACTGGCAGAGGGTCCGGGACATCAAACACCGTCACACGCGTCGGTCAAAGCGGCAACGCATCTCGAACGCTCTCGAATGTGAGGGGAGATGCCGCCAAATGCGAAAGGCCAGCAGGCTCCGCAGTGCATCCGGAAGCTCTGGAAATTCCATTGAGTTTCGATGAGACGTGCGAGCTGGCAACTGCGGTCCAAATGGCGGTCATAAAGCCAACGGGAG